GACAAAGATACTTTATTAATCTGTAAATACCTTAAATTGTCAGTAAACTTTGACCCGAAGACAAACAGCCCATTGGCATGTGTACATGATTGAGGCTTTGAACTTGCGCAGGTCACAGAGCACCCAGGACTCGTCCCTGTACTGTCGTTTGGCAGCACCCAGCTGCTTTCCAGGGCATAGACCCCGCCCAGAACTCACCTGCATCTCTCTAGTTCTAGAAGCTGGCACTTGACGGATGCTGAGTGTCTTCAGCAGATGCTGTCCCAGGCCTCTCCCCAGAGGCCTCTCTCTGGGCCGGCAGGGGTGCTGTGTCCAGTGGCGCCTTTCTTCTCAGACTGGTCAGGCTGTGGTGTTGGCATTCCATGCTCATTCATCACAGCGCAGGTTTCTAAGTAGACTGTCACTTGGAGTTGAGATCCTGTGGGCTGCTTTTTGCTTCCTTCTGAGGGAGCCGGCTCCATTCTGCACAGAGATCCTCTTCATTCAGAGGAGAGTGTGCTTTCTGCCAGGGTGTGGGAAGCATTTGGGAACCTTCCGCACTGGCCTTGTGGAGCATCCTTCAAAATTCTAGTTGACAGGACAGGGATTCCTACAGTCACTTGGAGTTGGAGAGATCGAGCTTGATTTTAGTATATATTTATTTTAACATTTTTATGAGTATAAATTTTCATATTCTTAATCCCCATACGTATAAGTAAGGTCAGATGTCAAAGTTTTGTGGGGAATAAAGTTAGTCTGTGACCTCCTCTGCAGGTAGTCTTTAGATAGCCGTCCAGTGTCCCTGCAGAGGGGAGGCTTCTGCAGGCTGCATGACACTCACTTGCATGGTCTGCGGACTTCTTTGGTGATGGAAGCTATCACATGAACCTGGAGCTGTCCCTGTGGGTGAGTGTGCTGGCTGACCGCTGTGCCCACTGGGATGAGCTCCTGGAAGCTGAGTGCACTGGTGGACAAGCTAGCAGGCAGTGTGTCTCCTCTCTCTACCGCAGCCTCCAGCATGGGCACCCATGGACATTCTGGGCTGGATGATTGTGCAGTATGTCCTGTGCCCTGTGGGATGTTGAGCGGCAACCAAGATCCCCCCCCCCCAGGTGCCCATTGCTGTCCCAGGTGTCTTGGTGTGCAGAATCTGCACTGTAAAATAAGACCCTAGCGCAGAAAATTACATGACTTATGCACAGTAGAAATAAAATTGTAGAAATCAAGGAGCTGGTTCTGAAGTTTATATGGAAATTCAGGAACCTTAGAAGAGCAGTTTCAAAAAAGGACAAAATTAAGGAGTGTATTGCCTGGTTTTAAAACACACTGTACAACTTCAGTAATCAAGGCAGTGTGATAACTGATGTAAAAATAGACGAGCACCATAAACGTGGGATTAGAGTCCAGAAGGCTCATAGATACAGACCAACAGGTTGTCCTCAGGGTACCCGGGAAGTTCCGTGAAGAAAAATGCCAGCACTGGTGCCTTGGTCATATGGGCCAACAACTGTCTGTCCCTTTAGTGGACAGAATTGTCCTCCCACCCCCATGTCAGAGGGAGATGTGACATTGGGGAAGAACCAGAGAGAGTGTGAGGGACCGCCCCCCTGCCAGCAAGGATGGCTGCAGCTGACAGCTGCGGGTGCCTCAGAAGAGCAGAAGCCACGCAGCGCTTCTGGGCCCATGGAGGAGCCAGCTCTGCCCAGCTCTGGGCTGGAGCCCAGTGAGACCCCTTCAGACTTCGTCTGCAGAACTGAGATCCCAGGCGTGTGCCTGGGCACTGAGTGGGTGATTTGTTAAGAGCCACAAGTTCCGCAGGCAAGTTAAAAAAGCCCAGCCTTTACTTTACATCTTACTGAGAAGTGACTCAACGATCACACACCTGATGACATGATGCAAAACTGTAGACCTGTGGAAGGAAAGCTGAGCAATCTTGCGTAAGGCAAAGATCTCCTAATGAGGATGACCCCCAACATGCGATTAACAGTACTTCGCCAAGTCTTGTAAAACTTGCTCTCTGAAAAATACTGATAAACAATGAAAAGTGAACTGTAGGCTGCAGGGAAAGAATCTTTGCAAAAAAAGATGCTCCTTGGGCATTTGGCGAAACACCAGGCTGGCAGGAGCAGCCAAGAGGAGATGATTGTGTTCACTTGCCTGGTTTCAAAACACACTGTGCAACCTCAGTGATCAAGGCAGTGTGATAACTGGTGTACAGACAGACGAGCACCGTAAACGTGGGACTAGAGTCCAGGAGGCTCATGACTATGTATCCATTTCCTCTCGGCTGCTCCTGCCACCCTGGCCCTCCGCTCTCTTGCAGTCTTTGATCACAAACCCCACAGCCCATTGCATGGCCAGTTTACTCTGCTTCTTGTGACACCCACCCCAGCACCCCACAGGGCACAAGGCACACCCAGGCCTCACAGGCCCCCAACAAATCTTCAGAGCCCTGATGGCCCAGGGCTCTTGTGGCCCTGTAGCTTTGGGAAGGAGCACTGAGTGCTGGTGCTGGCTCTGCCGGAACCCAGAGGGCCACCCTGTGCACGCCTTTGCCACACGGAGGGATGGTTTTGAACGGGGCAGGAGCAGTGCAAGTCTCCCTTGAGAGAGCTGGCTGCTCTGTGGTGTCCAGGCATGGGCCAAGGAGAGGGGAGACCAGGCGCTCATTGAGGGGCTGGAGACCTGGAACTTGATAATGCTGCTCGGGTGAGAGACACCAGACTCTATTCAGAGGATAGGGTTTGAGTGTCGTGGTTGGGGTAGAGCAGTACAAGACATGGGACAAAGCCCCAGAGAAGCCTGGGCACTGGGAGGTACCAGGCTGAGTCAGACGCTGTGGCCTCCCTTGTGTACCAGTGGACCCTAGCCTGTCAGTGCTGTGGATGTGAATGTTGTGGAACCTGGAGGTGTCCCAGAGGGAAGATGGTTTGGCAGGAAAGCCACGTGGATGGGTGCAGGTGGGCCTGGTCCTTTTACTTTAAGCTTGGGAAGCAGGGCAGAGTTTGGATGGAGGTCAAAGTGTTGTTTCAGATGGTCAGAGGGTACCCTTGGGGGAGGGGAAATATTGGTGGGACATGTTTCTGGAGGGACTGTCAGGACTGGAGGAGACACCCCCTGTCCAAGCCATGCTCTCTGAACCAACAGGAACTGTTAGGTTGCCGTGTGGGGCTCCAGCCCAGGGCTTACAGTCCCATGGGAGAGGGACTATCCTAGTGGCCCTGGTTGTGCATAGTAGGAAAAGAAGCCAGTGCCTGTGGGATGCCCAGCGTGGCCGTGTGCTCTAATTTGAGACCCAGTAAGCTGATTCTTTGGGACTTGGAGCTTGTCTCTGTATTTTACGGCCACCACACGTGGTGGTGTGTCCTCGGGAAGCAGAGCAGAGCCACTGTGCCTCCCTTTGCAGTGCTGGTGGTCCATGGCCTTGCCGTGGTGATGTGCTGTGCCAGCCACGGTGGGGAGTGTCCTCGGTGTGCCTCTGCTGTGTGCACACCTTTAGTGAAACGTCTGCGAGTGTCTTCTGCCTGTTTTCTAGCAGGGTGGTGGAATCAGAAGAGTTCTGTATACCAGATACCAGTCCTTTGTTGGGGCTGTGACCTGCAGACACCTCCCAGTGCATATCTCGTCTTTACACCCTCACAGGGTATTTCTAGAGCAGGAGTTTTAATTTTGATGAGCTGCATTGATCAGTTTTACTGTTTATGGCTCAGGCTTTTAGTGTCAAGTCTAACAATTCTGCCTAGACCATGATCTTAAAGATTTCTTCCCTTTTTTTAAAGTGTAAGTTCATTTTGAGTTGGCTTTGTGTGAGGTCTGATGCTCAGGTCAAGGTTTTGTGCATTATGTTCCTGCACGTCTGTGGAAGGCTGTCCTTCTCAGCCACAGTACTGGCCAGAGCCGTTCACATGTCTGCACTGTTTGCAAGCATTCCTGTCTGCAGCCCCTCCCTCTGGCCCCTGCAGCTGTGCAGGGCGACTCCAAACCAGGTGGCGGTTCCCGTCATCTGACTGTCTTTTCAAGATTGTTTCACCTACTTGAGGACCAGTGCCTTTCGCATAGTTCTTAGAGTAAGTTTGTGCCTACAGAAGCTGTGCTGGGATTTTGATAGGAGTTGGGAAAACCTGAAGGTCATTTTGAGAGAACTGACATCTTTGCTGTGTTGTCTTTCAATCCATGATGGTTATTTTGACTTTTGATTTCTCACATCAGTGTTTTTGACATTCAGCATACAGATTCTATACATTTTGTTAAGCATTCTGTAAGGGCTAAACCAGCAGTGACATAGGGAGAAAAATCATCTCTGCATCTGTATAAAACTAGGAATATTATAAAAGTTCTATCAGAAAAAACATACTTCTCTGAACATGAGCCTTTCTGGAATGGGAACCACCCATGGGAGGAACCACAGCTTGTTATCCTAGAATCACCCAAGTGCTTCCCACTGCATTCATGAATAAAGCTTGGTTTCCACAAGCTCATCGGAAATGCAGGGGGTCACAAGCACATATTTGATATATTTGATGTCTTTTGAGGCCATTTCTGTGTGGTCTCCTCTTCTAAGTAGACATCCTTATTTTTTCAGCTCCTCCTCTTCTCATCCTTATTTTTTCTGCTATGTATAGCAGAATTTGTTCTGTTTTGTTTTCCATGAGAGAGAGCCACAAGGGAAAAGTCCCTTCATTTTATTTATTTAGTTAGTTAGTTAGTTTTCATGGACCTGGTACCTTTATTTTATTTATTTATTTTTGCGTGGTGCTGAGGATCAAACCCAGTGCCTCGTACATGGGAGGCAAGCGCTCTGCCACTGAGCCACAATTCCAGCCCAAAGTCCCTTCATTTTGTAGTCAAAGAAAACAACCCTGGTGTGGGGTGAGGCCCTCTGGAGCAAGTGAGAGCCAGGGTCAAGCTGGCATAAGGCTCATGCCCTTGCCTGGTACCCTTTCTCATACTCTGACATACCCATGGATTTTAAAGTGTTCTTTCCTTTACGATCAGTCGTTGTTCCATCTCATATTTTGCAGGGCGCTTCTGGTGACACTGGAAGGATGCAGCCACCCGGTCGTCATGAAGGGCTTGTGTGCGGAGTGTGGCCAGGACCTGACCCAGTGAGCAGCATTGGAGGGAGGAGCAGCACTCTTGGGGTCTGAGGCTGGGCCTGCGGGCAGGGTTCAGAGAACAGCCGCCTTCCCTTGGCCACACCCAAACCAGACTGGATCCTGTTTTCATTCCTGGTTTGTGGAAGCCCCAGATCACTCCGGTGCTCTGCTCAGATGCAATGGGAGCATGCTAGAGGGTTGGGGTTTGTTCTCCCTGTGGGGACCACAGGCTTGTCATGTCCCCGGTGCAGGTGGCCATGTTCCCGCCTGAGCCCTCTTTTCCCAGGCCGTGGGCCAGCCAACTGCTGATAACAAGTGGTTCTTTGTCAGTCTGGAGGGTGGCTGACACTTGGATTTTTTTTTTTTTTTTTTTTCTGTTTCACCTATAGGCCTGTTCATGGGTCTCATGACTTCGTAGTTAATTAGAGGGTTTTGACCCTGAATGCAACTAACTCTTGCCTGCAGGTGTGAGTGTGGCTGGGACAGCTGAGCTTTGTGGCCCAGAGAGTGGCTTACTGAGAGCTTGGGGTCTGGTGCTTTCCTGATGGTGCTCGGACAGTGGAGGGCATTCCCCAGCTGCCGCAGAGCAGGGTTCTGTGCAGGGGCAGCGGGCATGGCCCTGCCTGCAGCTTCGAGCCCATCCCAGTTAACCCAGGCACAGCACCTTCTAAGGCATCTTCTTGCATTCAAAGGCTGCAGAGCAAGAATGGCGAGCAGCAGGTGCCGCTGTCCACAGCAACCGTGTCCATGGTCCACAGTGTGCCAGAGCTGATGGTGAGCTCTGAGGTGAGTGTACACAGGGTCCTGTGAAGACATGGGACCCGCCTACAGTGTCATTTCTGAAGGGTAGCTGTGCAATGGCTCAAACGTTTCAGACCGATGGCTTCTGTCCTCCGCTTTCTTCAACCAGCAAGTCTGCCCCACAGCTCCATGGCAGGAACCTCCCTCGTGCTGCCAGTGCAGGCACCGCTCTGTTTGGGTGCCCCTCGAGCCAGATTCTGGGTGAAAGGGAGGTGGTGGATGCCTGGACACAGCTCCAGAGGCAGCATGCTTCCCAGGGTGTGCACAGGGAGGACAGCAGGGCAGGCGGCTGTGAGGGACAAGGCTGCTGGGGCAGTCTGCTGCCCAGGAACTGCCATCGTCCTGGGGCTGGTGGAGCTGGGGATCAGCTGCCATAGAGAGTATTGGAAGTGAGGTGGCCAGGGTGGGATCCAGGTGACATCTGCTGTGCTGCTGGTTGAGAACACCGTGGCGGGTAGCAGGTCCTGTGCAGGACTGGGAGGGAGGCCCTCCAGATCGTCTTGAGTGTCTGTGCTGCCCTGGTACCCACGGGTCACCCTGAAGCTTGTGGCCGTATGGGCCTCTGTCTGGTGTGCAGGCAAGTGTCCCGGGAGGGGCAGGAGCTAGCACCCTCCACGCCCCCACCCCCAGCACCTGTAGAGAGTTCCACCACCAGTGGGAGTTTTTTCTGGGTTGTGAGAATGCTTCAGGGTCATCCATTTCTCTAAGTGGGGAAACATGGCTCATCAGGAGGATTTGGTCAGACTTATGCTCTCAAGTGACACACAGCAACTTCAGTCTGTTTTTATGGGGAAGACAGAATGCCAGATGCACTGTTCTGGTTTTTCTGGATCACTGAACTTTAAACAAATGTGAATGC